ACCCACCAAACAAACAAACAAACAAGCAAACAAACAAACAAAAAAACCAAACCAAAAAAAAAAAAAAAAAAAAAAAAAAAAACAAAAAAACCTCTATTAAGGGCATCTATCTTCCTACAAAGGGAAGGAACATCCACCATACCATTCTGCATATTTCATGTTGAAGACTGAACTTGTTCCAGTTTTGTCCCAACGTGCTATTAAAAGCTTTCAAGGAACACCTTGTTAATTGAACTAATCAAGGACATGCTCCCAGCACAGCTCTCCTACCAAACTGCTCTGTGTCATGACATGTGTGAAGGACAACACACACTTTGTTTTACCAGGCCAGAGCCTGAGGTGCACTGTGCTTGGGTCTAGCAGACTTTGCCATGTGCTTAGTAAACAAATTGACTTACTGCAGGAACCCCACATTTCTTTTTGCATCTGTGCCTTCTTTTTCTTTTTTTTCTTCCTCTTTTATTTATTTATTTATTTTATTTATTTATGTATGTATGTATTTATTTGTTTATTTATTTATAGTTTAGCTAAATCTCAGATGTTTATTTTCCTACAATTCTGGTCTCTGTAGCCATTCAAGCCCTGCCTACACACTCTCTCCTCCTGGAGACATGGGGATGTGCCACCACTACTGCTCTTAACCACAGCTGAAGCCAGAAAGGACTGATGGTGGTACTGGCCAGTGCTCACTGGGGTGGCTGCTGCTGGACCTGGGCCTCTGGGACTGCTCCAGGGTAGGAAAACCTCTAAAACACAGAGACAACTGCAAAGGGATGAATTTTCCCATCCACATGACTACATGTTCCTTTGCTTTCACCCTAATAGAAGACTGTGCTTTAAAGAAAACTTCACCCTGTGCTGAACTATATTTCAAAGGTCCCTGATGTGTAAGAGGTCACCAGCAATAGGCCCACTACTGGTCTCCAAAATGGGATTTTACTGGAAACACACTAATTTCCACCATGGTCTAATTCCTTGCATAAAGAAACTTCTTCTCCGCTACACCCCAGAGGTCTCCATCTGATCTGCTCTATGAGAAGATCACAAACTTCTGACATAGCCCAAGCAGGCTGAAAACTGTAATTCAAATGCTGAATTAAGAAACTTGGTGGGGCAAGAGGGGAGTGGAATATATAAAGAATATTATGTACTGGAAAAAAGTCAAGCAGGATAAGGGGGGCAAATTCTCTGCTTGGGCAGCCCGAGTCCACTGGAGTCAATGTAATTATGCCAGCAAGGATTCTGGCCCTGTACTTGCATTTCCTAGACAAAGTGAATGTCTTTGTTGTTCTGAACTAAAAGCTAGCATGAACACTTCAGGATGCACTATTTTTGCCAAAATGGAAAAGGCTTCATCTCACTGTGGGTCTTGACCTCTTTCTCTATCTGTCTCGCTTGCTCATAAAAAAAACCTTGAAGTAAAACAATTTCCTCAAGTCAAGTCTGCCTCCAACAGAATTAATTATTTATTTTTTAAATCCAGAAATGATTTCAGCTTGCACCCCAGGTGGGAAGTTAAAAAGAGGGAACCCATTTGAAACTTTGTCACAGTAGGCAGAACAGTTGCTTTGCAGCCCTTGCCTGGCTAAGGGTGCACTGCTTCACAGCTACACTGTAAAGTGTTAAAAATCCTCCCCCCCACCCCAGAATATATATATATGTATGTATAAAAAAAAATCCCCTGTCCACCTCTCAGTACAGAAAAGGACCTCATCACACTGCAAAAATAGCAGTACCCACTTTGGTCAATTAAAACAAACAAAAAAAAGCATACATTATTTTTTTTCTTTTAAATCTGTGTACTTACCTATAATAACCAATACAGCTAAAAGCACTACCTACATAGGCAAAACTTGGTATTGCATAATTCGTATAAATTTGTATCCCCTCCCCCCAATATTAATTGGAAGATGAAAAACATGAAAGGTTAATAGAAAAAACACCAAAATACTGAAAATATTGCTGGTCGATTACAATTCTTAAGCGGCAACTATACACAGCCACGATATGCTTTATAAATGTGAGATAAAGGTATAACTGTCTAAAAAATCCATGATGTCACACATTTTTCGCATCTGGAGTACAAAATATTTTGTCATAAAAATGGTAAAGATTTAAAATTATAATAAATGCAGCAAAACAAGTGTAGTGATGTCAATTTTTTTGTAGTTTTTTTTCTTTTTTTGTTTTTTTTTCCATTTTTTCGATTTCAAGGCAAGGCACGTAATGTGGACATTATATCTTCGTGCAAATTAGGATTACTGGAAAGAGTATTTTAAATTTTTAAAGAGACATAGAGGCAAAATGTCTGCCCATGCACATTATATTTCTGTCAATATGTGAAAATTGTTGAACAAGGCTAACTTCTGAAAGCACCATGCAAGTTTACAGCACCCTGTAATTAGACTTACATTAAGAGTGCATTATTTAAATACAACATATCCCCATCCTGGTATTACCAGTTTGTAAACGGTAAGCTTTGCCCTTGTGACATGGATTTGCCTATGTCTTTGTCTCTATGATGTAGATTTTACAGAAACATGTAAACCCTATGGGTTCTTGATGCAACAAGTAACTTTAAATAAATAAATCCTACCCCTCTGCGGAGGCAGCAGCTAAACCAACATAAGTGCTGTGTTTCCATTGATTTCTTATTCTCAAGGACGTGATTTGTCTTGACTTAATGCCTTTTAATGCCCTCAAAAACTGAGGGGAAAAGTAAGTTCGTTCAAAGTAATTTTTTATTTTTATTTTTAATCCCCTCAATTTAGAGTCCAAGGGCTGAAGGACTTATAGTGATGACCTCTTAGATATGATTTTTAAATTGCACTTGCCTCTGTAAGTGTTTCTTTAGTGGGGAAAAATGTCACTTTTTTCCTTTTCTTTTTTTACTGTTGCATGAGAAGATAACACTTTTATTTGTGTAGAGGCATTTCTTCCATAGAGCCTGTGTGTTCATACCGATTGAAAATTTCAAACTGCATAACACACTAGAAAAAGGCTTAATTAAGGGCCAAAGTTTAATAAATCCATACTGATAACTAAAGGCTACAGAGCTTATTTTAAAAACATTGAGAAATCAGACTGTTGAGAAAATGTCTGGCTCACAGCCCTTGTCCTCCTGCAGCTCTGCTGTTGCTGCCTAGCCTTTGTTTTGTGAGATAACCAGGAATAGTGATCTCATGCGTAAACAACAGGAATACTAAACCAATAGAACTAGCTTATCATGCAAATATTAAGGCATCTAGAAAGTCAGTTAAAATATATTGTCGGAGACAGAACATCTATTTCCCAGCGGACTTCATATAACAAAGGCTACTTAGGAGGAGCTGCATTCTACCCATCAGTGAAATATCATCGACCCTTTGTATATCATCTCAGTTTCAACCATAAGGGAATTAATGATTGTAAGAGCTGCAATTGCTGGTCTATTTTTGTTCTTCTTTCTTCAGGTTCTTTTCTCATACTGTCTTCTTTTCTTTTTTCTTTTTTTAATTTTGTTTTTAATTTTGTTTCCATCAGTTGCTTGTTTCTGCTTGAAGGAAAGGCTCTCCAATTATGTTCAAACCATAATTTGGGACATTTGTCGGCAGGATCGGTGTCCTATTTGATACTTGGAAAGGAACCAAGCTAGCCCAGGTACCAGGACTGTTGAAAAGGGGAAAGAGACAAGGAGGGAGAGAGAGAGAAAAAAAAAATTAAACATGTATACAATGAATTTGAATCAAGGTCCAGCTAATAATAATAATAACACTACTTAAGATAAAGCAGGAAACAAAATTTGTGAATGTAACTTGAGATTCTACTTCCTAGTTTTCTTTGTGAAAGTATGAATAGTTTGAAAGAAAAGTAATTGTGTTGAATTTGGTAGCAAGTTGTATGAGTCCTGAGTTACACTAAGTGGTCTGTTTGTTTATGAAAGCCCCCACAAATGTCAGATGCAAATATATAGAGCAGATAAACTAAACCATATAAGTGACACTATATAGTGTAATGGACGTCATTTAAGAGCTAGTGAAATATACTACAGGGTACAGGTGTTCTTTTTTCAAGGATACAGTATAAAAATTCAGTGGATCAGCATCCTGAGAGGTTTCCTCCCCTCTCCACCATCCCAAGGTGGGCCTCTGAGATGCACAGATGCCCATAAAAACAGAGGACTTTTTATGTTCAAAAAACCTGCTTTTAAAAAAAGCTCCCTAAGACTGTCAGTCTAAGAAACACCAGCTAACACAGGATCTGATAATCTAAACACTTGCAGCCGAGGGTAGCTGTGAGTCGAGGGTAACAGTGAGTACCATATTGTTTTTCAACAAGCCTCTGAGAAAGAAAATATTTTCAAGGACAATTCAATGACTTAGGAACTTAAGTCATCATTACAAAAGAACTCTGTCACTAAGGAGATGAAGTCCCAACAGCATTCACAGGTTCACCAGGCACCAACCAGTAGTACTTGCAAGATGGATACTCAAAGACAGGTCTCAGCTGCTGGTATCCAGTACCCAGCAGCCTGAGCAGCCCTTTTCTTAGATGTGGTTCTGGCAACCCAGCAGTCCAGACCAAACAATCCTACACTATACGGTTCTATTACTTCAAAGAAAGTTTTGTCATGTTTATTCAGAAGGAAAACAGCATCAGTAAGTCAGCACCATTGCCAAAGACCTAATAGCAACACTGGACAGCATGCAAACACACCCTTCCTCTGCATTTCACTGTATTGAGCTTTTCTAGTGTTTATCACAAATGTAAGTGTTTACTTGGATTTACATTTTGGCATTAGACTAACAAGCATCCTGATAACATATCTAAAGCTCTTCAATGTGTGTACTGTGGAGGCAAAAAGTTTTCTTCCCTCTATATGTTTTGTCCCTTTTCTTTACTGCTTTCTCCCTGGACAAGCAGATGCACCTTTATGGCAACAGGTATGAAGAAGAAAATAGGCCCTTTTTATTTATTTATTTCAAATGTTCGTGACATAATTACATTTCATTTGGCAGCCTTTCGTGATCATTTCAGTTGCTGAAAAGTGCTTAACTTATTTTGTGAATTCCAGGGGACACGTTTCTCAGGCCTTTCATATTAAAATCAAATTACGAACAACTTCTGTCATTTACTTCTGTTGGAAAATACTTACCTCCCTAAACCTTCTAATTTACTATTTTAACTCCTAGCAATTAATTTCAGCTGCTATGCTTTACACACACAAAAAAGTGCCAGTAGTTCCTGACCTGTATGTTTCAATGATGGCCATATTCCCAAAGGAGAAGGACTAATTTTATTTCCTGAAGGAATTACAATAAATATTAATATCTTAATGTTTTCAATGCCTGAAGTACAAATACTATTCAATAAGGCTGTTGGGTTTTCTTTCTTCAATTGGATGTATTCTTGACAGACACCTAAGAATCTGCAGTTTTAACCTTTCCAGAATTTTTTAATTGCTGTTTTCAAAATATAAGATCAGCTAATATGCTTAAATTTTTGTTGTTTTAATTCTATTGACTATTACAAAAAAAAATCTGCTATTGGATAAAAATAAAACGTTTTGAAATTTAAAAATCACAGTTAAAAATTTAAAAATCACACTAATCTTGAAGCACTCACAAAGACTTAAACCGTGCTATGCATGAAAGATTTTTCCAAGACTATATAATGAAAAAAATATGTTCCAAAAATAAAAAAAGAATCAATATCAAAATTTCATTTAGGAGGCCTAATTGTTTCAATTTACTCTTTATCTTCCTTCACAATCTCTTTCAAATGCATTTTTTGTTCCTTCCATTTTGGATTTCAGTGATGTTAAGAAGTAAATTCTGAAATAACAGACACAAAGCAAATTGCTTCCAAGCATGTGAATTTATAAAAATAAGAACTAGTAATAAAAAAATAAAGAGCCAAGCAGATTTGTTTGCTTAGGATCTGTCTGGATACATGTTTTACAATGCACAGTTCTTTGCTGTCCTGTTACATGGGATTTACAGTGTTTAGAGACTTCAAAAAAATACAACACTAACTCAAAGAATATAAATTTTGTTTGAGGTTAACACTCTATTTAAAAAATTTCTGTGGCAAAGGCTAAACACACAGGCTCCAGGTTATCTTTCTGAAGATTTATAGTGCACTTCAATGATTGGATAAATACAGTTTTGACTTTTTGCTTTATTTTAAAGTTGCCAGCCTTCTAGTGACAACAGTGAGTGAAAGAAACAAGTCAGTGCTGACTAAAAGCAAATTATTATTTGCAGTGAAATTTTTGTCTTCTACTTCAAATACCAGACAGAGATCTTGATTTCTATGGAAATTGCCCAATAAAAATAAGTTTTAGCAAGTTCCCAATATGACTGTTGTTGCCATATGACCTCCCAGTTTAATATAGGTGTTTATTTAAACCTTTCAAGCCTCCCACCTTGTATTATGACCATGACAAAAATGCAGACTGCAAGAAATTTGTCAGTGCTACTTATGAATCCTGAGGGAGTAATACATCACCCATGTTAACACTGTGTATATCCCACAGGAGTTTCAAAGTCCCTTGGACTGCTCACGCCAGGCCTTTTGCCAGAGGTGGTGATGCAGGCAGTGGAGCACCTGTGGGACAAGGACAGCCACACGCTGTCTGCCTGCAGGGCTGGAACAGCCAGCACTTCCACACCTCTGGAGGCAGCTGGAGTCCCGGTCTAAACACACACACTGGGCACAGTCTGGCTGTCTGGCAGCTGGGAAGAATGGCCCATTCCCTCTGTTTGCTGGTATTCCTTAAGTCATTTTTTTCAAGGCTTGATGAGTTCTGGTTGTAGTTTAGCAAATAACATTATCATACTACAGGTTATTAACTACAGTTACTCTAATATTAGTAACCCTAATACTAGAGTTACTAGGATGTAACTCTATTTTGGGCCACTCTCGTGCAGGTACCAGCACCAGAGGCTTACTGCAGACAAAGGAAGAAAACTGAATGAAAGCCTTTGAGGAAACTGCCCTAGTTACAGCACGGAGCTCTGAAAACAGCTGTAACACAACTGTGAATAACCAAACACACCACACAGGCTCTGCTAAGCTACATGCCTCTGTCTGTCTATCCAATATTCCCACGACCTCCCTATACACTTATGGCCACTTTGTTGGACTTTCAGCTACCCTATGAGCCACTCTCAGCTTTGCAGTTCCCCAACACTCCAGTACGAAGCCAAGTTCTTCTTGCCAAGAAGAGCAAGGTCCCCCTGTTAGCCTTCTCCAGCCTACTCGGAAGAGACCTCTCTGAATATTGCAGAGTTTAGCTTCTGCAATGGAAACCATCCACGTGTTTTCTGCAGAACATCCCAGCAGAAATGACAGTCACTTCTGGCTGCAAGGCTAACTCTGCTTGGACACCCACATGAGCAGGATATGAGGGAACACCTTCCCCTTTTCCATACCAGTTTATCTTCACGATAGCAGTTGGTGTGAGTCCCAGTTAAAATTCAGCACTTGGTTTCACAAAACCAGAGGCAGTACTCAGCCTCTGTCCAATAAGTACCTCAGCCAGGGAAGCAAAAATTCTTTCTGTTGCCCAGGACAGAGACAAGGTAGTTGTCCTTGCAGAAATTAATAGGACGTGCACATGACTTCTCCTTCAGATAAGAAATCTTTGTAATGTATGAGTGGAATAAAGCAGGTCTACCCCACACTCCAGTTTACTAATCCTGAGGAAATCTGTTATCCATGTGCTGACAGTAGTTATAATATAAATGCCTTTCCATTGAAACATGAAGTGAGACCTAAAAAAACTGCTCAAGGCTAAGTTTTGAAGAAAATTACATGACAAGTGTCATGAGAGTCTTTTGTTAGATTCGGATCCATTTTTATTGCAGGACCACCTTCCTAAAGCACTACACTTTTGAGTAATTTCACTACTGATAGCAGTTTTCTCTTCACCATAGCTAGACTATTAGATATGTTATACAGTCATCAGTTCCCTCTATATCCACAGGAAGTATAATGTATTTATCTGTTCAAATACAATAAAACAGCAAAGGAAAATTCTTCAAGCATCCTACAGGGTTAACATTCTCTATTACACTTTCCATTACAGTTTCCAGATGTTAATTCAATCAAGATTTCTGCCATGATTTCCTCTCAATGATAATAATTGCTGTTTCAAGAACCTCTGATTAAAATATTACTGGAATGGACCACAAGTAGTGCTTACATTATATGTATATACAGTCCACTTTTGAGGTTATAATAACATAAAGAGCATAATAATGTTAAGCAATTAACTAAATGCAATAAAAAATAAATCTAATCTGACCTGAGTAAATGTGGAGGTTTTTCAGATTCTTATTTTCCACCAGTTAATACCTTCTTTCTTTTAGTTTCAGAAGTCTGTAAGAATATTTTGCCATTCAGAAAATATATCTAAAGCAGTATTTCCTTCGTACAGCTTTACTATCACATATGTGAACTCACTAGCTTACAAAAGGTAGACCAGATCCTGCAAAGTCAGTTTTTGGACAGAAAAGGTAGAAATACCTTCAATGTTGAGTGAAGTGACAATTGTAAACCACCAACCAAGGCACATCTATCTTTGTAGTAAATGCTTTCCCACGCAAATACTGGGACTTTTACCATTTAAAATTACTTGGATCATAAGAACTTTGGAAATGCAA